AAGTAAAGGCCTAACTTTTTAGTTTCTCTTCAGCAACCAATTATCCTCTTCACTTTGGCTTCCTTATCTGTAAATTGGTGATATGGATGACAGCGCTGAGCCCCTTAATAGGAGCATGTGTGTATTTGTAAATTATAAAGTACTAAGCAAATGTAAAGGGGACCGTTTTTCTTTTAAACTACCTACTGGTAACAAGCATGAAAACAATGTGTGGAAGGTCAGTGGACAAATATTACTGAGCATGAAAAGAAAGGTTGATTATACTTTTTCCACAAAGGGCCAGGTAATAAATAACGTCTAGCTTTGTGGCCCACAGGCCTCTGTTGCAACTTCTCAGCCCTGATACCGTATTGTGATATCAGCCGTAGACAATATGTAAATGAATAGGTAGGGTTGTGTTTCAAAGTGTAAACATTATCTAAAAAAACAGGTGGTGGGTTGGACTTTGCTGACCACTGCTTTACACCAACACGTGATTGAATAGGGTATATATGTACATATGTACATGCATGCACAAACACACACGCACGCATGACTTCTGTTTTGCATATCACTATTCCGGGGTAATCACTTACAGAGAATAATCTTGGGGGGAGTACTGGGGGGGGGGAACTAAATAGGTAGCCCTTGATTGTATGATCAATAGCCTCTAGAAAAGTTGTGTGCAAATTTAATATGCATAGAGTCAGCCATTTGGTAGACATGAATTTTTCTGAACAGACATCTTTAATTTTGTCCTCTCGTTGCCATATGGGTTGTTTGGATTCTGTCAGTGTATCCAGGCTCTGCTTTGGGGTCTGTCTAGCCATCCCATCTCCTTTGCTCATTTTGCTACTTCCTTTGTCTTGTAGATTTTTGTGTTTATGAATGCTGTCATCCAGAGTGTTCTGATTCTCAGGAACCTAGATGCGGTACAGTCATTCAGTACATATGTATCACATGTATTGTTTGCTGTACTGACATACTCTTGAGTATTTTTCCGAGACTGTAGAAGTGCTCTTCTCAGCCAGCGTTTTACTCATTTAGCTTTTCTGGATGTGGGTTTATGTCTCCTTGTGCTGAAGTTTAAATACCCAGTGATTGTTTACATGGCTGATAATTTGCCTTCCTGTGGGTACTTCATGGTGAGAGCCTTCAGATGAGCCACATGGGAGGTGGTATTTGTACAAGATCACACTTAGCATACGCAAAAGGAAAATGTTTACTCTCATCAGTGTTTTGCTCTTAAGATCCTTGGTGAGTAGGGGAGATTTTCTTTTTTATATAATTGCCCCATCCATGCTAATATCACCTCATACCCTGCTGAATTTTAATAAATTTGCATTCTTGCCGATAGAGGACTCTAGAAGAATGCAAAATATATTACCTTCCCACCAATTTCTATTTAGGTAGAATGGAAAGAACAATGCAAACTCTGTCATTAAAAACAAAACCAAACCAAAAGCACAAACTACTCATCCAAAAAGCAGCAGTGAGAGTTGTGTGAGAGATGCCTAATATTATACTAAGTTTCATGCCAAGATGTTGGTGCTGTATTTTTTAATGTTTCTAAGTAATTAGACTGTTTTGTCATATTAAACTTTTTTTTTTTTTTTTTTTTCCCGAGAGAGAGCATATGCACAAGTGGTGGGGTGGGGAGGAGCAGAGGGAGAGAAGAGAGAGAATCTTAAACAGGCTCCATGGCCAGTGGCAGAGCCTGATGAGAGGCTCAGTCTCACACCCTGAGATCATGACCGGAGCCGAAATCAAGAGTCAGACACTTAACTGACTGAGCCACCCAGGCGCCCCTGTTATATTAAACTTTTTAGCATTCACGGTATTCAAACTTATTTATCTTTCCCTGGGTCCTTGGAAATCATTTGGTTGAAATTTTTGAAGCCAAAACTTACTGCATAAACTATGGCATATGTCTACAATGGAATACAATTCAGCAATGAAAAAGGTTTGAACAATTTATACAGAGGACCACTTGGATGGGTTTCAAAGGCATTGTGCTGAGTGAAAGATGTCAGATGTCAGGTTTGCATACAGAATGAGTCCATGTGTAGGATATTCTGGAAAAGGTCAAAATACATGAGGAAGACAGGTAACTGGTTGCTGTGGGCTGGGGATGGTTTAACCCTAGTGGGATAGCATGAACGAGTGTTATCGGGGGACAGAACTGTTCTTTCTTGATTGTTGTGGTGGTCCCACAAATCTATACATGTGTTAAAAATTGTAGTTCTGTACACATATGCCAAAAGTCAACTTTTTGTACGCTAACTTTTCAAAAGTAAAATAAAAAACAAGAGTGCTTGATTATGCTTGTTGAGAACATCAAAAATATATTCTAGGGATTGTGGGATACCAGGGATTCCTATGAGGAAAATCATAATTGTGCTCTTTTCAAAGAGAAACTCATTGATGTGGTTACTATGTTTACAAAGAAGTGAAATCATGTAACTTCTACTCAGTGGATAGATAATACCTTAGGCTATATGCAGAATGGAAGGGAATATTCAAGGTTATGTGTCCCCCAGCAGCCGTAACGTGGTCCTTGGTGCCTACGTAGCATTTCTGCTCTTCTTTACGGTGATCGCTTTCCTTCGTTGGTGTGTATATATGTCATGTGACAGTTACGGTGGCTGTGGGAACCGTAACTTTAAGTTCTGTGACTTTTCTGTGAGTAAAACCAGCCATAATATTGAATTAATGTCATTCTTCACATTTAATTTCCATGTTGTTGTAAGTGGAAGACTTATCGTATATTTGAATAAAAGCTCTATGTTCATTTTTGATAGCGTGTAAGTGACAGTGGTTATGTGGACTCATTTTGTCCCTTAATTAATGTTATCATTAAGTACAGCGAGGCCAGTCTGGGGGAGAGCGTCTGAGGGGTGATGCTTTAAAGCCTCTATCCATCCACTGTTCTCCTTGGCAATAGAAGATTCTGGACCACCACAATCTTTGGATCTTTGGCTAATAACTGTGCGCTCTGAATGGAAATTTTAAGCCCAGCACTGGTAGCTTTGTGGAACTGCCTTCAAACAGAATTGCTTAAGTGGAGCATTGATGTATTTCTAAAATGGGAGACATTACTGATGGGTCTTCACACTACAGAGGATCAGACAGTAGATGGTACTTTGTTGGCTCTGCCCATGAAGATGTGGCCGGTCTCTCTTGGTTTTGTAAATCAGGCAGAAGAGTTGCTAAGCTTCCAGGAAATAATAGTGTGCAGTGTAAAAGGCATGAGGGCAAATCTTTAGAAATTAGGGGAGTTGAGTAAGGTTGACTGTCCTCCTAAAACAGTCTTCAGATAATCCTGTCCAACCTCCCTGGATGTGTTTTTACATAGAACATAGGAGGTATGAAGAGCCAGAGGGGAGGGTGACAAGTGAAGGCCCTGCTGGTACCTCTTTTCTGATCTGCTAACAGGTCTCCCACACTGAGGGTCGGGGCTTCTTTCCTGGCTGGGCAGTGGTGGTCCTTCCAGAGCTGGGGGACTCTAGTGACCGCAGTGCTGGGAACCTTAGGGAAAGGTCGAAGTGTCCGAAATCACCCTTGATCCTGGTGAATGAGTATGAAGTAAATGAATTATATTCACAGTCAAGGGACATTAGGGCTGGAATGGGTGGAGAGAGAGGCTTGTGTGAGAACCACAGATGCAGGCGCTGTGGGGCCTCTGTTCTTCCTGGGGAGGCCACATGAGGCTTCAGGCCATCCTGTGAGCAGGGCCCATTGCTGCCTGGTCGTAGCATTTTGTGATGTCACTGCATGCAGAGGGTGTGGACCAGAGGACCCCAGCTTATCTGCAGCCCCTCACCATCCTGCCATCCCTCCTGGGGGCTGAAAAACTGCCCTCCTGCTTGGGAACCCAGATTCTCTTGCTGCCTGAAGCTCTACTTGAGAGGGAGAGAGAGAGACACACACACAGACTGTGTGTGTGTGTGTTTGTGTGTGTTTGTGTGTGTTCATCATGTCTCGGAAGGCAGCCTGCCATCCGAGCAGGATCTCTGACTTGTGTCAGGACCTCCCTGATGGACACTGTGAATGGGAAAGACCAGTGACCACAGTGCTCCTGGTCCCCATGTCTACCCTTAGAGGTTCATGGTCATGCTAGCAGTCTCTGCAGGTTTGCTGCCTGCCTCAGTTTGCCCAAAACTTTGGAGTTACCTAGCCTTGTTTGGAGGGAGAAATCCCATGTTTCTCACACAAGAAATCAGCCCTGGCTAATGCACCAGCCAGACAGGAGCATATCCAAAATGCTGGAAGACCATTAACTCACTTCCCTTCCACTCTGCCTTTCTGTGCAGACAGCCATCCTTATCTCCAGCCCAGAAAACCTCAAGGAGTCCGAGAGCACCTCTGGACCCTGCATTTGTGCATATAAAACCTGCACAGTGAACATGTCTGCTGTATCTACACACTAACTACTGACCGTTGCCCATTTCATTGCCCTGTGGGATCATTTCGTAGGTGTCTTAAATTAGGAAACCTAGACCCCTCCCATCCTGAGATCATTTGTTCAGAATTTGCATTTCTTACTTTTTGGTTGGTGATTGTACAGACTCATGAAGGCATGGTTGGAGGAAGGTCTTCCAAATCCCATTTTGAAATGTTTCCTCCTGAGCAACAAGCCCAGGCATGTGATCTGCCCACTTCTCTTTGGTGGCAGAGGACCAGGCAGGCCCACCCTGGGAGGGACCTAGTGGGATGGTTCATGCTGCTTGCACGCTAAAGCCTGGATGAACGAGGGATGACGGAGCAGTCCGGTGGTAGAGCAGAATCAGCCTTATCCACGCTCTGACCGATGACTAAGATTGCAGAGGCTGTAGCCCGAGGGACTCCACTGAATCAAACTTTTATTGCCAAGACCGGCCACGTGTGTGGGAAGGCAGCCTGCATACTTGAAACTGAGCATGCAGATGGCAGACTCAAAGGCAAAGACCTGATAAAGGGTATCTGTGTAGGTTGATACCATTTTGCTTTTTGAAAGCGGATTTTTTTTTTCTTTTTTACAGAAGCTATGCGGAAGTGGTGATCTGAATGCTTCTCTGACGTCCCAACAATTTGAAGAACAATCTGTGAGTGACATTCCTTGAAAACAAACACTAGAGTAAATATTATTTCTTAGCAAAGGTGTGGGTCTGTATTTCTTTGCTTGTTTTTAAAGCATGCTGAAACGAATCCACTTACAAAGACAGGCCTTGCACGTTATAGCTGGAAAAGATTAATTCAGGGTCTATCGATCTGTCAGACTGGGACTGATTTTTCTAAAAATACAGAGCAGCTATGCAGTTGAGTGGGACAGTAAAGGAGACAAAGCCATTCTGAAGTGCTTTGAAACCTGGATGGGGAAAACTTTCAAAAGAAGGCTGTCAGGGGGACTCCGCCACAAAATCGATTAATTGAATGTCCAATAAGTGAACAATAAATTACTTTATCTGTTCTTTCTCTTTGGAAAGACAAAAATTTGAACTAGTGCAAAACTCTAGTTCAATACTTTAATTGGATGCAATGAATAAATATTCAAAAATGGACTTGGAGTCGACCTTGTGGCCGGTGGGAGTTGATGCATGCCTGGACAGGGAAGTGAGCCGTATTGAGGGGAGGTAAGACTGGGGGTAAGTGGAGGTGATACCATGGTGGGGGCCAGGGAGTAGAGGAAAAATATGCAAAGGGGAGAGAGCTCAAAGTGTGTCACGTATGGACACAGGCGTGGCATGCGCCTGACGGACGTGTGGGCTCAGGAGGCTGACAGCAGAGTGGTCGTGAACAGAAGTGTTTTTATGACACGTGGAGGAGGTGTGCCAGAGTGGAAAGGCTTGGTGGGAAGGGGGAGAAAGTGAGGAAGCGACTTTGCATCTGAGTGTGGACACGTGTCTGTGGGACACATGTGGACACCACACACGCTACTTCCACTGGGCCCCACCATGAGTTCTAGAAGAAAGAATCCTGCAGGAAATCACTGAGCTTAAGGGTATTTCAGATACTGGCCTACCACTTGTGGGATTTTGGGGGGCAGAGTTAATACTGCAAAGACATTATCAGGAATTCTGATAAAAACCCCACTGGGGAGAAACATAAAGGATGCCTTAATAAATCACTGTAACCAAGTCATCCAGGTAGGGGATGGGAGATGAAGCTTGAAGATTTGTCTTTGTGGTGACTTTTGCGTTGGCTCTGAAATTCTCTTCCTCGGTCCCCAAACAGCAGACTTAACTTATTTCTTCATCTGTGTAGATGTTTGGGGAAGCCGGTGATGGCTTGAGTAACCTGCCCAGTCCTTTTGCCTACCTCCTCACCATCCACCTGAAGGAAGGCCGGAACCTGGTCATCCGAGACCGCTGTGGTGAGTCTGGCTCTGCTGTGCCATCTGTAGTCTGCATACCCATTTCTCTACTCTTGTCTCTACATGTTAGGCTGCCTTTCCCATCTCCTGCAACAGAGAGGAGCTCAAATCTACACCTCTTAGCTATCAATGCCTTTGCAGCAAAGTATTTAAATCCATTGAATCTTACTGTCCTTTACTGTTATTAAATTAATAACAATAATGATAATAGTAATAATCACATAAAGTTGTTTTAAATGAGATAAGGCCACTGTCATAGCTTTATGCCTGGCATAAAGCAACTGCTCAAGAAAATGTTCCCTTGATTCTACTTTAATTATACGTAAGAAAAGATGTGAATACATCCTTAGTGTGAAGCCATCAAACATACACTTGGATGGAAATACCCTTTGAACCCCATCCCCCTCCTGCCCTGAAATCCCACTGGGTTCCCCTCCCTCAGGATAACATCTATTATCTGCATATGATTTGATTCGTTCACTTTTTCCAACTCTTTCTATGCCTTTACACACACACATAAATACACGTGTGTATTTTTAATTAAAATACTATAATGTCCATATTCTGCAATAAGCTTTTTTGTGCTTCATTATGTATTCAAGATTGACCCATGTTTTTCCATGTAAATATATCTCCTTTCTTTTAAATACCACATAATATTCTATTGTATGATGTGTTATTCATCTGTTTCTCTACTGACAATTACTTTTTCCTACTTTTTAGGAATATAAATGATACTGTGATGAACACCCTGCATATGTTTTCATACACAGATGAGAATATATCTTACAAACAATAGCATATGTTTAAGAGCAGACAGTCTGGTTAGACTGCCTGGGCTCAAATCCTGCCCTTCTCTGTTTATTGTTGTTTAATGTTCTTTGGCCCCTCTGTGACTTAGTTTCCTCAGCTATAAAATGAGGATAGTAATATTAACCTTCATTATAGGCTATTAGGAGTATTGAAGGTAGTAACTTCTATAAAGTACTTAAAACTATGTCTGGCTTCTAGCACTTCAAGAAAGCTAACTGTTGTCAGCAACAGAATCTGGTGATGGAAGTCAGGATCCAGGGGATGCACGTTGTTCAATTTAAGAGATCCTGGCAAATTGCCTTCCAGGAGGTACAGAATATGGCCTCTCTTACAATATGTTTACAATTTCCCCACCTCCTCACTATCGAGTATCTACTTTTATCACTCTTAGTTTTTGGCAATCTCATAGGTTGGGTGTTGACTCTCCTTGTTTTAATTTGTACTTTGTGGAGTCTCATGATAACGAACGTGGTCATTCGTATTGCCTTTTTTGTGAGTTTCTCTCTGTATCATTTGTCCGGTTTTCAGATGGGCTTTTTCTTCGCTCTGTTTGTAATTCTTTATAACTTTCAACATTAACGGTTATTTATTACAGGTTACAAGTTTTTTTTTTCTCTCAGTCTGTTGCTTATCTTTTATTTTTATGTCCATTTTTGTCCTTCAGAGATTTTACATTTCCTTACAGGTAAATATATTTGAGTTTTCTTTATGGTATTTTTAAAAATTTATTTTGTTTAATAAGGAAGAAATTTTTATTCTAAGGAATTGAGTGTCTTCCCCTAGACTCTTCCATCTGTCCTCTATGTCTGCTAGCTTTTCTTTCTCATTCTTCCCATGACTTTTTCCTTTCAGGGAGAATTCCTCCATTTGGCCTTCTAGCTTTCTCATTTTCGTGTCCATTGTGACCACTGTGCTATTCCATTCATGTACTTAATTGCCATTTTTAAAATTTTTATATCAGCTTATGTTTCATAAATGAGATGATGCCATCTTGTTTTTGAGAGTATTAAGTATACATTTAAAATCTCCTGTTCGGTACTTTATCCCTTAGATATTCCGGTTTGACATGTTTGCTGCTCATCTTTCTGTGTGTCTCTGTGTCCCTGTCCTACCATCCGTGGATGCTATTTTTGCTTACTATGTCTTGTCTTCCCTGATAGCAAGGAGGACTGGGACATGCAGCTGGACAGGCTGAGCCAGTGGTTTAGTCTGGCTCCTTTCCATTCCTCCCAGTTATCACCAGTTCCTGGTTACCACCTATCAGTTAAAGCTTTTCTCTCTGGCTTACTGCCCATGCTCACTGTTCATGCTTGCATTCAAGGGCTCTTGCTAGTCATTGCTTGGCACCAAGAGGAGAGGATGGTGCTGGCTCACCCAGCTGCTGTACGTTTGCTGTGCCAACCGGTGACCCTGGTAGTTTCTCTGGCTATCTTCTGCTTCCCGTATCTGCTGCCTGCAAGCTCAGAGCATCCATGGTTTACCTGCCACACACCTCACACTCTCCCACCTGACCCTGCTTCTGAAAACGTTTTTACTATGATTTTCTTCTGCTCATGTTTTAGACTATGGATTCATCTATTGATCTGATCTCACCTGACTTCCATCTTTCAGGCTATATAAAATATTCCCACTTTTTAAGATTTATGTATTTATTTCTTTAGAGAGAGAGCACAAGTGGGAGGGGTAGAGGGAGATGGAGAGAGAGAATCTCAAGCAGACTCTGTGCACTGAGCACAGCGCCCTATGTGGGGCTTGATCTCATGACCCTGAGATCAGGGCCTGAGATCATGACCTGAGCTGAAATAAAAAATCAGTCACTTCACTGACTACCACCCAGGCGCCCCTCTACTTTTTTTCTTTTTAAACAAAATTTCTCTCTCTCTGTCTTTTTTAAATTTTCTCAGATACAGGATTCCAAAGTAGTAAAAAAAATATCTCATTTTTTACTTGTTGGTAAATTGTGTTTTCTATCAAAATCATAATTTCTTATCAATTGTGTGACTTCCAGTGTTTTACCACTTGTGTGCTATTGTTATAAACATATGCATTTTAATAAATACATCTCTTAGGTTATTTTTAATGATTTGGTCAGATAGTATTTCACACCTGAAATAACATCTAGGGAACAATTATGAACCAGTGTGAAGTTAACTCCCACAAAAATCCCGACTCTTGCTCTGAATTTGCACAGTGTCCCGTGGGTACTTCTGTCAAACTAAGATCATTATTGAGCTTGTACTGTGGAAAGCTTATCTGGAGTGGGGAGGTGTGTTCCATGGAGAGTGCATTTAACTTTACTAGTAAGAAGGTATTCTAAACCTTTAAAAAACATGTTTTAAATTTTTGGAAATCCTCTAATAGTTTGTAGCCTTGGGGGTGGGCGCAGGCCCTAGACTACTTCTACAAACCAGCTACCCTCTTTTTATCCGCCTTCTCTGGGTCTTTCTCCCAGAGTGAGTGAGCTCCACCACCCTTGACATATCATAATGATACACTTACAGCACATTCCTAATAGATGGTCAGTAAACTTAGTAGATGATGAAGATACTGCACACATCACAAAATGACCAGAAGAATGGGGCGTGTATGTTCTTGCTCCATACCTTGCCCTGTAGTCTGTGCTATCATCCCAGCCATTGTCATCTCTGAATAGTTTCATCAGAATTAAACATCATACGACTTTGACTTTATCTTGTGTAAACTTAATATGATCCAAATATAATACCTAGTAAGGCATCTAGATCATAAACTGTGTTGTTCCCAGCACCTGTGTCTTTTGTAACTAGTAGTGACTGTTCTTGTCTGTTTTATTTATTGGGAAAGTTAATCATTACTGAGAAAATAGTCCTCTCCCAGCCAATTCTTTTTCTGTACTTGGAGGTGCGGTGTGCCTTCCTGCACGGTGACTCTATTAATTTCTGCTTGATTTTCATAAACATTATGTTAGTGATCAGGGAAATGTTCCAGAGACCACTCAATGCAGGACAGCATTCACGTGAGCACTGTTGATTTAGGCAGGGATCGTAACTACTATCACGCATGCTCCCATTCCTGACTCCTTGCCTGGGACAGACATCCTTTATCAGTACAGTGATATTTTCTAGGTGACCCAACCAAGCATCAGAATTTTATCCAACAAGGTCCTTCGGACCAATAGTTTCTAAATTCGAGTGAACACTGGGGTAGCCTGGAGGGCTGATGAAAACCCACATTGCCCACCCCCAGAGTTTCTGATTCAGCAAGTCTGAGGGGGGCCCTGAGGATTTGCATTCCTAACGAGTTCCCAAGTGATCCTGACGCAGGTGGTCCAGAAGCACACTTGAGCACCACCGTTGTAGGCAGCCAAGGTCCACCAGTATGTTGGCACATGAGAAGAAACGTTGGCTTCTGCTGGTAGGTCGAGTTTCAATTCCCTATTAGGCACGACATCTTTTCCTGGGGCTTTACCTCGTTACGTATTTGCTCTCTAGCATTCTTCGTTTGTATTTTCTGAGCATAATTTAATTTGGTATTAGCCTAATTACTATAATTGTGTACAGAGAACTGTATGATATGCCAAAATGCTAAATACAAAAAGATTTTTGAATTACCCACAAATTTACAGTATTTATTCTATGAAACCTGTCTTCAGTTCTGTGGATGTAAGCTTGATAGCCGATTGATACAATACGAAATATCCTTCAAGATTCATTCAGATGCCACTTCTTTGTCATCTTTTATGTTTATCACAGACACAAATTCTCTCTCATCTCAAGCCTATAAAAATGTTCCCTCCATGAAACATACACTTTTACCCTTAACTAGATAAATGACCAAGTCGCCCTATTAAGATATGAGTGTTATATTAACTGGGTGGCTGTTTTATTCGTCTCTGTATATCTTACTATGCCATACTGATGGTTTACACATAGAATGCTTTTCATAAATTTTAGTGCTTTCTTAAGGAAATCCACCCGAAGCGCTGGACTTAAAGAAAAGGAACACTAAAGGCTGTGTAGTAAGAGAGAAAACATCTTCCCCAAAGGGAAGAGAATTCGGTCACTCACTCCTTTCCCCCTTCACTTAGCGCAGCAGTCCCTTCTGCGAGATGGGCACTGCACTGCTTCTCTCCTGGACCTGGTGGTGAAAGTCAGGGAAAAGGTTTACATGATTTTAGAAATTCAGGACCTCATACAGATCACCTGCTT